GTCTGCGCAATGCCCTGCTTCTTTTTCCTCGGCCACCAGCGCAGTTTTCGGAACTCGACTCAACCATAGACTGTAATGTTGACCGGCAACGCGCTGCGCTCATTGAGTGGGCAGAAAACCAGGTAACTTGCGCCACAGTCGCGACAGGCTTTTTTCCCGTCTGTATGTATATCACCCGGCACTGTTTACACACCTTTTCCTTCTTCCTAGACCGTGTCAACTTTACCGTCCCTGGTACCCCTCAGTGGCCTCGCTCTGTTGCAGCTCATCTCCTCAGTTCTACTCAACATTGCATACGTGGCTCTTTGTCTGCGTAACCCCGTGGAGACTATTCATGCTGCAGAGCAGGTGCTGCATACCGGTCCGCCCCCACCGTTCTGCAACCTACGCAACTCTGATTCTGTCTCGGAGCCAGCTACGATTGGTGGAACAGAAGGTGCCAAGGAGAAGGGCGCGTCGGCGATGGCGGTGGCCCCAGAGAACACAACATGTCTACCAGCTGTCTTTGGATGGATTGGACTCATTGCGCCGCCCGCCCATCGCTACCTGGCCAAAATGTATCTAGCGGAGGCTTACGCATGCCTGGACGAGTAAGTACTAATAGCTCTCCTTAGTAATGCAAAACTTGAGCTACCTGTTTATGTGAGCTCTAGCCCAGCATGCGCTTGGCTGCATTTCACTGTGTCAGTTCCTTTCTTGGTGATCGGAAACTGCCTTAGTAATGACACCTTCTGAAACCACTGGTGCACATTCATAGTCCTTTCTTTCTCCCTGAAGTGTCCTTATCCATAAATGTTCGTTCTGGGTATTTCCAAGCATTAGAGATATTTTCATCCAGGTTCACTCATGTGAGTTTCGGGGTGATAGTCTGAGAAACTGAAGTTATTTACTGGAAAACTTGGTCCTATTTCGAGGAGGAGGTTGGCTTGGAAAATGGAGAGTCGACCCAACTCTTCTAAACGTCAGCAACAGGCCAAATTTGTTCCGGTGAGCAACATCAGTTTCTGATTTTAGACTGTCCCCCTATGTCTTACATCTTTACATATTGGTATTACCGGCCTCTAAATTACACAGCACTAGGTCGCTTCTGGATCCTCTCACTTGAAAAGGTCTGTGACTGTACATTGTTCTTTTTTCCTTCCTAACAATATTACAGTCTGCCCAACGCCTGCGGAATTCTCCTCACTGAAGATCTCGTGGGCACGGGTGACGGTCTGTCCCTCCTCACTTTGCACTCTATCGACTCCTACCGGCAGCTTAAACGGGGCCGTGCCTCCCTGGCCCCACCTTTCCTTCTACCACAGACACATCATCAGTGTGGTCTAAAAACACACATGGATACATTTTCTGAGCACCAGAAGTCCTCCGTTGACCTCAAGAGTGAACAAGAGAGACCAGTTTCGGCCTCGGCAGTCTCAGTTACCAGTCATTCAGAAGTTCGGCACCCGGATTTCCCCGTTACTGTCGAACAGGTATCCCTCAGTCTGCCCCTCCCCTTTCATTTCCTTTCTTGACATTCCATCCACCATCTCACCGACAAAGGCAAGGTGACTAAATTGACCCTTTACGCCTCTATTCCCGAAACATGCGGTGTTAGTGTATTCAGCCTAAACGGTGATCGACGATTGGTCTCTGCCCCTCCGCTAAATCGTCCGATATAATTTCCAGTCATCTTCATTTTGACTCGCCGTTAGTCCATGATCAGGGTGGGAAGAAAGAGTGAGGCTGACTTTATGGGCATAGACTTGTTGGAGTAAGGACATAAATAAATATGGCGCGCTTTTGAGTTATCACGGCGCGTTTGAAGGGTTGTCAGCAGACAGGTTAACTCGGTCCTGTTACCGACTGAAGAGAAATCCACAGCGGACTTTATGTGTGGGAACTCCAAATCCGTGCACGTTAAACGGTAAATTGCGGGTCTGCGTCACGTAGGCCCTTGCGCCTAACGCTGTCTCTAAGCTGGCAAACTGCCGTACTGCGCATGGACACATATCCTCATCCTCAGTTAAAAATCCCGAATATTAAATCCTAGTTGAATGACTCAACGGTTAGAGCTTTATACTTCTGATTAACAGGTCGCAGGTTCGAGTCTCGGATAGTGCGCCATCTGGGGTTGAGTATAACTGGCTGATGGCGGCTAATGAGACAGAAATGGCCATTCCAGACTGCCTTGTTTTTGCCGGTAATGTTCATCTGCCAGCATCGCTATTTGCTGTACGGCTGCTGCTGGGGCTCGTGAGTGTGTCTCAAGGCAGAACGGGACGAGTGCGTTCCATTAGCAATTGACGGGCCTTCACCAACGAAAATCCCAGCTCGTAGATTAGATGCTCCGCACAGTTCATCTCCCACGCTAAGGCTCTACACTTTGCAGATCACAGTAGACAATATTAATGTCAACAGACACAGCCAGCTGCCAAAGTCGATGGAAGGGAAAAATACAATCGTTCGTATGCAAGTCGTGGCGTGTAGGTATGCTGAGCTCACATCCCCGTGGTTCGACCGTCAACTGCAGCTCTGCCGTCAATTGAATGACTCAAGTCCACGGTTCACACTTGCTCGAGTCTGACGTGACTCCGCATCCTTGATTGCAGCTGCCGGTGCATTGACCCTTTGGCCGATACTATGAAGTTTTAACCAATTAACAAAAAGTGCGGTTTGTATCCAGGTCCTCGCACCTTGGTATTGAAACATTACCTGCTGTCGGCGGCAAATAAACTGGGAACAGCTATTTCCAGCCTCCGGTCATCGTCTCGATCATTTGTTAACTCGCTTTCGTAGACTACAAACTCAAGAAACTATTGGCTTGCAATGCGTAAGCCCCCGTCCTGAAACATTCTGTCATGATTTCCACCAGCAGTCGATGTTTATTTTGTACAACCTCGAAAATTGAACCTGTTCGCTAGCCTATTGAATTTTTATTCGCACTCTTTGAGCCTGTCTACATCTGTTTTTGAAATTCTATTTAACTCGCAGGTGGGTCGTTTGCTTACCTCGTGCGTGAGTTGGCTAGATGCGCGCATAATATATTTCTGATGAGCGTGATGATGTTTTCAGATTTGGGCTCCTAGGCAATCTTTAATATTTTCCTTTATACCGTGGTTCGCTGTTGGAGACCGGAAATAGGTACTATCTTATCTTACACTTGGCCTGGAGCCAATTTCAGAGAGGGTGCCTCTTCCCATGTCCTACCACTTACCGCAACCGTAATCCTAACTCTCCCTGTCCCGGAAATTTGGCGCAGTGCAACTTGTAATACGGTGGGGTGGAGTAGAGGGAGCTACCTCTTCCCCTATTTTACCCAGCTTGCTTCGTATATTCCGGCACAGCCGCATATACAGTAGCTGTTCCGTCTCATGAAATCCAAGGTTTTTTTACTAGAAACTCCCTGGTACACAAAAGCAGCCCAAGTTGCGTCTCCTAAAGTCTGCCAGCAGTTAAGTTAACATCGTAATAAAAAAGAGGACATATTGTCGTTTAACAAGTAACATTACCTTATCTAGAAATAACAGTTATTTTATGAAACCAGAAAATTCCTAAAGTGAACAATTGGGGTTGCTGAGTAAACCTAAGTTTAAAATGTAGATAAAGTCTCTTCATGCAAAAAAACGCGTTAATAAAACAGCACAAGTTGCAGTAGGTTTGAAAATAATCCTTTTGTGAAATTTTCGGCTAGGTATGCTTCCATATTAAGCGGAATGTAAAGTACGGCTGTCACCAAACAGTCCGAAGTTCAACTATGTAATCCAACGAGAATTGTCAATTGTTTCTTCACTTCGTAAGTGTTTGCAGATACGTTGGACCAAGGCAACCAGACTGTCGCTCGATTGCGCCGTTTGGGACGTCACAAGAGTAAGATATTTAATAAGATCACATGTAGAAATGCCGGTGGATATTAAGAGTAGTTTCCTTTCGTCACGTTTTTGTGTAATTATTTCGGGAGTTCGATTGCGACGAGGTTAATATTGTTCTTGAAATAGGGGTAAACACTTGGCAATTTTCAGTGCTTTCAGTAAATTGTCCATAAGTAAGCATTCTCGTCTACATGCTTACCAAAATGTTCAAAATATGATATTTCATAAAAGTATTTACCTAAATGGTAGATTTTTAGACATTCTTTCTTATGCAGCTGTCCATTTAGGTCATACCCAAACATGTAGACTCGTTGGCAGGAAAAATATACGTCCACAACAAACGTCACAAACGAATACGCCTAACATTAATTAAAAACTTTCTATAATAGGGTATCCTATTTGCTATTGCTCTTTGACTATGTC